ATCACTTAAACGAAATTTAATGAATAAATCTCATATAAATAGTATTAAACTGGCTATACTCCAAATGGGCTTTTTCCATTCTCAAACGCGATGACTTTAGACATATTTGCTGGTTTTTAAATTCTTCTCATGCCTGCTCAGACATCGCTAGACCACACAGACCATGGCCAAAGCTTAACAAATTTGATGGACTGTCTCCAAAGGCAGCAAATTTTCAAACACGAGGTCCTGATTTGTGTAAAACTTTATTGCTGCGTCCAGTTGGTGACCAATCAACGTAAACCGCAATAACTTTGTGCACCTACTTATCTGGAAGCTTGGTCGGCCAGGAGGCTTTGGCAAGAGGTGTTAACTGCCGAGTAGGTTGGGCCAGGTCAGCAGAGCCAAAGTTGGATAGAGGCTAGAGAGAAAAGGATAACCTGCAGTCATACGAAGAAACAATTGTTCTGTTAGCCTCAGCTGCAGACGGCACTACTGCATACGGGACAGAGATAAGATTGCCAAGTTTGGTGATAATTGCTAGTCAGTATCAAACTCTATTTTGGCTCCAAGTCGGAAGGAAAAGTTATTTCTTGTGCATTCTGCGAAGGGGAGGCTAGCTTCGGTAACTGTTTCTGCCAATATTTAGTTCGTAATCAAGATTTCTTTAAGAGAAGAAATGTTGGAAATGCTGACGTGGATAGAAAAGAAGAGGAAGAGCCTCACTATTCTGGCTCTTCGAAAAAGTCAGTGACAATTTTACACATCTTTTTTCTCATGTGAAACAGTGTGTATTCGAGTGAAAATTCTCTCGAAGGGGCTGACGGCTTGTGTGCCATACTGCGAGGGAGTGTGGTTGATCATTGGCACCAGCATTGACCATTCGGGAAGACAAATGCATTAGGTCAAACGCTCACAGGCATGGCGGAAAGCAGAGAAGGGGTTGTGGTCTCATAGCCAGTTAAACAATCTTCTTTATCGTCAAACCACCCCAGGCGCCATACAATTTTGGAGAGTATTTCACGTCTGTTCCTAGCGCTTTTGGCCTGTATGTCCTGTAATTCTGTCCGGGTTATTTGTAGCAATATCAGTGGATTGTTGGCTGCTCGTCGACATTGCAAGTACGCTTCTATTGAGGCTAATCCGATCCACATATGTTTTTTTTAATGCTGAACTGTATTCCAAAGTATTGCTGGAATTTGATACAACAGGATAGTGATCACAGGCAGGAGGTGAATGCCAATTCTAAAAAGAGGTACCAAGGACTATTAGAAGAATTTTATCACAATACTATGATTAGACCTCGCGTTTTCATTGAATTCCAAAAATATTATTCTCAACCATTCATGGTTGGACTGCAGTTTCGACCTCACATAGGTTTCATCAACACCCCAAGCGGGATTCTAACTATAATCTCGAAACGTTAATCACTACGTCCTTGGGTCACAGGGCAGATACAAAGGCCAGGCAGTTTGTGTTGGGATTGTCGATGAAACAAAGTTATATTTGCTATAATAATAGACTGAATTAGCTTATTTTTAGTTTATAATTTAGTTTTTGAGACGACCAGCGGATCATATAAATGAGATGTATCCACCCTAAATCTCATATATATGATTGACTGGTGGTCTCAAAAACCTTCTTATAAATAAATATAACATAGCTGGTTGCTATAAAAAATACAACTTTATTTCATCAACACTTACACCATAAAATGTTATGAGAAAATGCCTGGCCTTCTTATAAATTCACAACTGTCCCTTGACTCAAGGGCACTGGTGGCAATGTGGCGTAGTGGATAACGTGTGGACATTACATGCTGCACTATCATGGTTCGAGTCCCGTTGGTGGTGCTGCTGAGAATAGTCCAAGCAAGATCGAAACTGCTTCACATCCTGGAGAGAAATAGCTTTTTGGCGATCAATACCTCGCCCCCGCAACTTGGTCATGTTGTCAGGGCGACTATGTAGA